CACCGTACAAATGACCAGGGTGGAGAAACAGGGAAGACTTATATGAGAGCGTATTCTTGTTCCAGTTTTGATCCTCTCAGACAATTCTGTTACGATTGAAAAAGTGGTCAAATTGAGCCCATCCATTTTTCTCTTTATGTTTTGAGACAGCCGAGGAAAGGAAAACAATTGAACTTATAAGAAGTAAAGTTGTTTTCGATACACAAGAAATATTACATCTTGACCATCCAAATTGCGCTGTATATTGGCCATGAATTATTGCGAAATTTCATGCAAGTGGTCACACCATGATGAGTACCCACATGTACATGTGCATGTACAAGTTCATGCACATATACATTACATGTGCTTGTACATGTACTTAAGTACGTATGTACAGGACGTCACGGTGAAGCTACATGTACATTTACAGTGCACATTTACTGTACGTACGTTGATCACTCACACGAGTTCACTACTACACTTTCCTGCCTGCAGCCAGGCCGCGCTCCAACCACACAGTGCCTACTGCAGACAAACCACACCGCCGTAAATCAGCCCCAAAAGTGGAAACACATGGCCGTGTACTGATTGAAGCCACTATATCGCGGGAAGTTTACCACTAGAGAGGCCATAAACTACAATGTAGGTGGGGTGGTCTTGAATGCAAACCCGGGTTCGCAAGAGCCACATTAGACTGGGCTCGGTCCAGTATTGCATGGAAGGGGGCCATACTAAAAATTGATGATCTCGTGCGCACAAGAAAACTTACGATTTTAAAATCTTTTTACAGAGCACTAAAAAATTTGAAACTAATAGTGAAAACGATGTTATGAGATTTTCTCAAGAAAAAATTGAGCATAGTCAAGGAGACCTGAGAGAAAATGATCATCAATGTCGCACCTCTGTACATTTTCAATGGCCTGCTCACACTTCTTGCTGCCAAGGCCATTTGTGCGCATACATGTACATGCATAATTACGAATTTATTAGTGAAGAGGTCTATTGGCTCCAATTGATTTGGCAACCCAAACGCAGTTGTCGTTTTAGCCAACATCAGCCAAGGGCAAAGCCTTGGAGTGTTGAAAACACAAGATTATGATGCAGACAAATATCATACAAATAACGTGCAAATGACTCTCATCAGGTAGTATTTGAGGCATTGGCATCTTGCCCATAAATTCAAATCATGTTCTGCCACATATAAGCCTGTTTCTGAGGCCAGTTCTTTGTGAAGTAAATAACTACATGTAAGTAAAGTGAAAACTCATTGTTTCCACACACACATGTACAATGCCAATTGGAGCCATCCTGAGTGCAGACATTTCATATTACATTCATACCTGTAGAAAACAACATGAAATGCAGTTTGGAATAATCTGCGTAAAAACATGTGCAAGGGGGGGGGGCAACGGGGGCAGACTGTTTGTGGTGCCTTCATTGCTATCTGTTCTCCAAAGAATGATAATAGAGGCAGGAACCAGACAGCTGTCCAAACCATTGTCTGATTTACTGCTGAAGGAGTCCTTATTAACCACTTCGTGCCGGGGCATTTTTCAACGTTGATGATGCTGAGCCGGCACGACTATCATTTTTTTCCATTTTCAAAATCCTTCAAAAATTCATCATTCCATTTAACGGTCGTTTATAGCCGCACGAAGTAATCTGTAGGCATTACTCTAAGTTGACAAGTGACCTTCATTGACG